GTACACACTCCTGCGGGTTTCTCACGCTGCGGAACCTGGGTACACACACCCGTGGGTTTCTCACGCTGCGGAACCTCGGTATACACAGCACTGAGAGCCAGCTGGCACCCCCACTGCATCCATGTAGCTAATGCTGGTGATCTCACCGCAAGAGAAGGAAGCTAACGTGAAATGTAGCTTTACAGCCCAGTAAGAACTGTCTGGGAGCCTGAAACACGAGCCTATCCAAAGATCCCATCTCGTGCTTCCTTAGGAAACAAACGCCGCAAACGCCTTGATGGATGTAAAGGAGACATCCCACTTTGCTGGTGTGCAGGGTAGATGCTGCCCACCCACCTGTGGGCTCAGAACACTTGAGTCGGGCTGTTACTGCAGGTAACTCAGCAGACATGAGCAGGGCCGGAGAGGGCCCAGCCCCCACCAGGAATGTCAGGCCACCATCAGGTGATGGTCAGGTGGCTGCTCGCTGTCTCCAAAAGAACTGGTTGCACCAGCACCAGGGAAAGGCAGTCTCCCAAACGACAGAAAACCCCTGAAACCAGTGATTGGCAGCTCCACAATAAGATCTCAGGAGTGGGGCAGGCAGGCTCACACGTGTGCACCGAGAGGCAAAATGGCGGCGTGTAACTGTTCCGCGACTTCCTTGGGATATCTCACAGGTGAGGGAAGGACGCCTCAAGTGAGGGAGTGCGCAGTTCCAGTCAGCTGGGGCTGCACGCTCCCTCCCACGTGCCAGCAGGCCGCTGCGCGGGTGCCAGCCCACCCCAAGGGAAGAATCAGGGAGAAGGGACGCAAGACTCTGAAGCATGCCAATATATAAAACCGCACACGTGGTCTTGTCGCCCACCTGGCCCTCTTCCGAGGGTGCTTCCCTTCCTTCCACTCCTGCTCTAAAACTTGCCTCGGTCCCTCCTGCCTCACGCCCCTCAGTCGAATTATTCCTTCTGAGGAGGCAAGAACTGAGGCTGCTGCAGCCCCACCTGGCTTTGCCGCCACGGACACACCGTGGTGTCCCGACTCAGCTGCATTCTGCCATAGCAGCCCTAGAAGCCCGCCTGAGCTCCACGCTCCACCATGCGCCTGCGGAACCCTCACACTGTGGTGAGAACCGTTGCTCTTTTTTTTTTTGTGTCAGGGTCTCCCTCTTTCACCCAGGCTGGCGTGCCAGGCTGCGATCTCGGCTCACCGCGGTCTCTGCCTCCTGGGCTCCTGCGCTCCTCCTGCCTCAGCCCCTCGAGCAGCTGGGACTGCTGGTGGCAGAACATACCCCACGTCCGACACCAAAGCGCGTTAGCAGCAGTGAACCGTCCAGGTCTGCAGCGGCCCCAGTCCTTGCCCCTTGGAAGAAGGAATCTGGCTGAACGGCACGAGGCCGAAGAGATCGAGGCAAGTTTTAGTGCAGACGCAGCAGTTTGTTAAGAATGAAGGGAAGTGAAGCCGCCTTGAAAGAGGGCCAGGCGGGGACTTGAGAGGTCAGGAGTGTGGACTGACCTTTGACTTAGGCTCCTAGACACTGGCACGCTTCTGGGGTCTCGACTCTTCCCTTGGGGTGGGCTGCCCACAGTCACAGTGGCTGCCAGCACCGGGGAGGGAGGGGGGCAGAGTGTTTACTGCAGCTGTGTGCACACTCCCTTGAGGCCTTCTCCTCTGACCAGCCAAATGTCCCTGGGTGGGGCCCTCTCCTGCCCTGCTGACATCCGACTGGCCACTGACTGTAACAAGGCCACAGGTGCTCGCCACCACGCTTACCTACTTTCTTTATTTTTTACAGACGGGTCTCCTTGTGTTGCCCAGGTTGGTCTCAGACTCCCCGGCCTGAGCCGTCTCCCACCTCAGCATCCACAGTGCTAGCGAATCTTTAAATGAGTTACCCGTAAGTCGGAGCACAGGTGGAGAGCAGCCGCAAGGCAGGGAGGGGCTGGGGGGTATCTGTGGGGTTCCCACAGGGGTGCTGTCTGTGGGCCCCAGGGCCGAGGTGACTGCGCATGAGACACCTGCCTGGTCGGCTTTTGGGAGGAGCACTGGGGGTGGGACGTGTGCGTGTCTGGAAAAGAGCGTTTCTGTATAATCCACAAACACCTTCGTTAAACCAATGTGGCCACCAAGAGGACCCCGGCGGAACACCGTTCGGTCTCTGCACACTGTGGTGACACTAAGAAAAGCGAAAACCAAAAAAGGGGGCCAAGTTTGACACCCTGAAGTTTAACAGGACGAGGCGGTTAAGAATTCGGCCACAAAGCAGTTTCCCGGGGAAGCTGCGTTCGGTAAGAGAAGCATCGGAACACCTGGGCTTCCAGGAGCCCGTCCAAGTCGCCTCGCTGCCACCGCACCCCAGCCCCCCCGGGCTGCTCCGGGCGGCAAACGGACCGAAACAAACCCCACAGCCGCGCGCGGAAAAGACCGGCAACGCGGCCGACTTCTAGGACAGCGGGGGCCGTGCCGGGACCCCCACTGCCGGCTGCGGGCAGGGCGAGGAGAGCGCGCCCCCTTTCCTCCCCCGGCCGCCGCTCCCGTCCCCTCCCCGGGGACCCCTGCCCCGCCCCGGGCGCCTCCTCCCTGCCCCGGGAACCCCCTCCCCTCCCTTCCCGAGGGACCCCTCCCCTCCCCGGGGTTCCCCTCCCCTCCCCTCCCCTCCTTTCCCCGGGAACCCCCTCCCTTGTCCCCAGCGCGCTGGGAGGCGGCGACGAGGACGCGGGCCCAGGCGCGGGCCGCTCCTCCGCGCGCCGCACGAAGGGGGACGCGCAGGGGGCGTCTCTTGGACCCGGCCGGGGCGCAGACCTTTGTCCGCCTCCTGCGCGCCCCGCGCCGCCCGGGCCGCCGAGATGGACCCCGGCGCCCCCACCCGCCGCCCTCACGCCCGCCCCCAGCCCCTACTCACCCCGGCGCCCTCCGAGCTTCTCTTTCGTACACCCCGCCCTCAGGCGCTGGCGCCGCGCCCCCTGGGACTTGTAGTTTTTCCTCCGCCCCCGCCGCAGGGCCAGGCTCCGCGGCTCCCAAAAAAAACTACAACTCCCGGCGGGCCGCGCGAGAGCCGTCCTCTCCCGGTGGTTCCGTCGGGCAAGGCCGTTGGGAGGGCGTGGTCGCGGAGTGCTCTGGGAAATGTAGTCCTGGGAGACCAGGTTCATGCCTCGGCCGCCCCCCACCCCGGCAGGGACAGACTGCATTCCCCAGGATTCCTCGCGCTCCGGCGGCTTGGCGTTGCCGGGAGACGGGGCGGGGCGTCGTCCGAGTCTCCCGGATGGGGCCCTTGGAGCTGGACCCGGGGCTGCACGGGCGCTGGCGTCCGTCGCGTTCCGCCGGTTTAGGCGGCGGCGGAGCGGTTGGGGGCGACCGCGGCGGCTCCGGCTTCGTCCGAGGCGGCGGCGCGGCTGCACCACGTTCGACCGCGGGCGCGCGGAGCCAGCGCCCTCCAGACCCACAGAGCGCTCGGCCAAACGCGCCCGGGTCCGCAGCCGGCGCCTGTGCGGAGTCCTCGGCGGGACGGACCCCGGCCCGGACCCGGGGGGCGCCCGGGGACCCGCGTCGGCGCCGCCTCCCGGACGGATCCGGGCCCTGCGGCCTCCGGACGCGCGACGGGGTCCCAGGTTCCCCCTGTGGTCCGGCGGCGTCGCTGCCCCACAGGCCGGGCGCGTGGGCCTCTCCGGGGCTCCGCCTCGGGGCCACCCGGGAGAAAACGGACTGTGTGCGAACCGCGGCGCCCGCAGCCTTCGGCGAACACGTTTACAGGCGCTCCCTGAAGGACCCGG